AGCTGAGTGTCCCATACATGTGCCCTGGCCCCATTCAACCTCAGTTTCCCTGTGTGCTGCTGGAGGGACAGCTCCTCGAAGGTGCCGAGTAAGAGCACTGTGCTGATGGCTGCCGAGCCTCTGGACACACGGAGCTATTCACATTCACTGATTTCATTAAGCAGGGTTTAGTTTTCAGGTCCACGACCACAATTTAAGCTCCGAGCACCTGGAGGTGGCAGTGGGTGAATTCTGTCATCATCACTGAAAAGCTCTGGGAGACCGCCCAGGCACACTGCTCAGGAGAGGCTTGCACAGGCATCACCGTCTCCATGGCTCAGGGACAGTGTAGATGTCGCAGAAGACCCTTCTCTATGAGCTCAAAAGGGCTGGGAAGCCATGGGAGACACAGCAGGACAGGGTGAAGCCAGTTCTTTTTTGTTGTTTCAGAGCTGGGACTGAAACCCAGGGCCCCACACATGCTAAGCAAGTCCTCTGCCACTGAGCCACGCCCAGCCCTAAATCCAGTTCTTGTTCAAGTGGCCTCACTTCTCATTCCGCCAGTCCTAGGGAATCCACTCCCAGCCCAGCCCCGTGGGATGGTGCATGTTAAGCACAAGCTTATACAAAATGTGTTCAGAGACCATTTCACCCTGGTCCTCAACCTCAGGCTCCAGTGCCTGCCTTGAGACCAGTGCTGAAAGACCCAGTGACTCACCAGGGTAGCAGCCTGCCAATTACACATTATTACATATAGAGACAGTATGGCTAGAGAGTTTTTTTTTTAAATGTCCCCTTTGTAAGTGTAGTGTGTGTGTGTGTGTGTGTGTGTGCCTTGTGTGTCTTGTATGTTAAAGAGGTTGGTGTTGAATCCTTGGGAGCTGGAGTTACAGGCAATTGTGAGCCACCAGATAGGTGCTGGGAACCGAACTCAGGTCTTCTGCAAGAACAGCAAGTGCTCTTAACTGAACCTTCTCTCTAGCCTCACCTCATTTGTTGAGGCAAGGTTTCTCACTGACCTCATAATTGACATAGATTCTGCAGGAACAGACTCAGGTCCTCATGCTGCGAGGCAAACCCTTTCCAGCTATGCCCTCTCCCCAGCCCATTGCCTGCTGTTTAATTTCATCTTCCACAGAGATGGACCCTGCTGTTGTGTTGAGCCCTGCTTACCACGATGCTCAGGCTCCTTTAGCGCTTCTAGCTGTGAAGTGGGTCTTACTCCACCACATTTTCAGAATGCAGAGTATGTGGTAAAAAAAAAAAAAAAAAAAAAAAAAAAAAAAAAAAACAACAACTACTGGCTCAAGGTTTCATAGACAGGCAGTGAAGAAAGGGCTTTGAATCCAGGCCAGTTTGGCGACAGAGCCGAGCTGTGTGCCTTTGAGCTTCCGTCCTGAGGATGTAATCTGAGATGCAAACAAAGTATCGTTGAGTACAGAGATAATGTCCAGCCTTGGTTAGCATATCACACCAGCACCATCTGGATGGAAAGTGTTTGGTGAAACTGAAGTGCAGAAATTACTGAACTCCATTTAAAGTGGATTGCAGAGAGTTTTTGTTTTCTGCTTTGTGTGTGTGTGTGTGTGTGTTGCTGGGAATCGAACCTGGGGCTTTGTGCACGCTAGGCAAGCACTGTTGCTCTACATCCTTGGGCTAGCAAAACTTGAGATTTTGGTTTGGGGTTTCTTTTCTTATTCCTTTCTTTTTTATGTACTCTGTTGTTTGTTTTTCTCTTTTTTTCTCACTCTTTTTAAAACTGTTTTACAGTGCAATGCAATGAACTTTAGTCACACACACTCCCCTTTTATCAGCAGCAGAGTGAGGGTGAGACTCGTGTGGCCAGGCGAGGCAACACTCCTCTCTCATTTCGTGACTTGTGCTTAAAATAACCAGCATAATTAAGTCTAATATTAGAAGAGTAGGAATTAAAGAGAAGGCAAGATGTCATTTTGTCTACTTCCCCGCTCAGAAAGAATTGCTGAGAAGCAGGGCATTTCGTAGGCAAGGCCTGCCCCGCAGGAGCAAGGGTGCTGGAGAAAGTGGGCAGAGGTGGAGCTGCACGTGTTCAAAGATGGACGGGGTCTGGGAGGCACCAAGTGAGCCATGGGAAAATGGACAGGCTGCCGAGTGGGTGGATGAGTGCAGATAGAAAGCAAGGAGCTCTTGGAGAGAGTGGTCTGTGGCATGCAGAGTGGGGAAAGTGAGGGAGGGTGTTCCAGGTGAGAAGATGCAGGACTTGAGATGTCCGAGCACACGTGTGGCCACCTGTGCAGACATCTGCCCCTGGGCTAGTAGGGACCGTGTGAGCCCCTTGAACTGGCAGGATGTTAGTGGGAGTTCAGGAGGAGATGTCAAACACACAGAAAGGATACCCATTACTCAGGTGGCCTCTGGAAAGTCGGGACATCTGGACCCAGAGTCGGAACTTGAGGATGGGCTGAGAGACAACTCAGACTGTGTGTGGACCAGGCCAGAAGCTGATCACCAACCAGTCCCAGGTCTATTCCACTGTTGCTGTCCCCCATCTGCCACCAGGGCAAAGAACAGTGTCTGCCCCATGAGCTGTGTCTGCTCTCTGCCTCCCCTCAGCTTCTGTTTTGTTTTAATTAGACGAAACCTGGCTCCATCCCGCCACACTGGGCCAGGAAAGCCAATGTAGCCAGCCTGATTGCCCAGATCCTTGGGGCATACTTTTATTTCCCTGTTATCCCTGCCTGGCTTTCTTTTTTACCAAGGACACAAGCCCTTTACATCATGCTCAGCTTTAACTCTAATCTTTTTCCAGTCTTTCAAGATTAGAGGCTAAACCATAAGCCTACCATCCTGGCAAAGAAGAGGGAGCCAGATCGCAGCTGTGGACTTTGGTACAAATGTCCTTCAAGTCCCCAGGGGAGCAGGTGTAGGGAAAGCAGGCAACCTCACTTTTTCATGACAGTATTAAAAGAAAAATGTAGCAAACACGACAAAACACCAACCAACCAAAGGATAGAGTAACCAAGCCTGGTGGTGCACTGCTGTCATCCAGGCCCTCGGAAGCTGAGGCTGGGGGATGGTGAGTTTGAGCTAGCCGAGGCTACATAGACAGACCCTGTCTCAAAATCAAAACAATAATAAAACCTGACTTATTTTAACTAATATCCACCTTTGATGAGTCAGGGAAGGCTGTGTGCCCTCACATCTGTAGCTTCCACAGAAATGTTCAGCATCTTCTGGTTACCATTAACCTTAAGCCCCTGTAACACCTGTCCCTTCACCAGCCAAATGCTGATGTTTAGCCCTGGACAAAAGCCATGATCTGAAGAAAAAAAAAAAAAAAAAAAAAAAAAAAAAAGCTGTTTGTCCTGAAGCCCCATGAGTCTCTCTAAGGGATGGGAGGACTCAGGGATCCTGCCTGGAGTGGCTCTGGAGCCAGCCTGGCACTGTGGCAGGTGCCACAGCAGGGCCTTTAAGCTCAGGATCTTTTCTGTGGCCTTTCTTGTTTAAAGACCTTTTACCTGGCAAGTTATGAAGCAATCCAAGCACAGGCTTAAAAATACTACCTACCTTAGTCATGGCTAGAAATATATATAACATAAACTTAAATTCAGTGTGTATTATGTGGCTTCCCCTTGAGGAGGCTTCCTGCCTGAGAGGGTTGGAACTCGATACTTGCATTGAGAGCTTTAAAAAGGGACCAGTGTGTCACCTCAGTCACTTTTCTGTCCCATCCTTGGAGAGTGGCATGCTTGGAGGAATGCCAGGAAAGCAAGTGGCCCATGTCTCCTATGGCCGGCCCATTCTGCATCCATCCATCGAGCATCCCTGAGCACTCAGGAGGCTGCCAATGGCATGACAGAGCCAGAGAAACCGGGATACAGCAGCACCAGTGATGAGTGGGCTGGCAGCGCTCACGCCGGCAAGCATGCTCACACTTGACCTCATTTATAGCTTTCCTTACTGTGTGGAAGACAGGCACAGTCATCGGATGCCAGGACATAAGACTCTATAGGAGTCTAGAGGCCTCTCCAGCCCCCATGTGGCAGGGTGACAGTGCCAGGCCCTCATCCCTTCCTGGAGGGTCCATGCTTGGCTCGGAGCCACCCAGGAACTATCCCTGGGGCTAACTAAACTTGATGAAGAAGGCAGGAGAGCCGAGCACAGGCTAGGCATCTGGTGTGTTTTCTTTCATCCAAACTTCTAAATAAGCAAGTTTGGCTTAAAAATAATCTGGATTTGGGCTAGGCATGATGACACATGCCTTTTATCCCAGCACTTGGGAGGCAGAGGCAGACAGATCTCTGTGAGTTCAAGGCCAGCATAGTCTACACAGTGAGTTCTGGGACAGCCAGGACTACACAGAGAGACCCTGTCTCAAGCAAACAAAGACCACCTGGATTGGGAGCTGAGGAACTAGCTCATTTGGTAAAATGCTTGCCACAAGACTATGAAGGCCTATGATTGCCAGCACCTATGCCAAAAAATAAGTATAAATAAATAAAAGGAGGCAGAGGCAGGAGGATCCTTGGTGGACAGCCAGCCTTACCATATAGGTGAACCCCAGATACAGTAAGAAACGCGGTCTCCAAAGTAAGGCAGATAGAAAAAGACACCCAGCACTGCCTTCTGGCCTGCACAGCTGTGCGCACACCCATGCACCCACAGCAATGTACCCACACACGTCAGTGTGCACACACACATGAACATGTGAACATGCACACACACACAGTAACAATTACCAGGAGTTTCATCACCTTCCGAATGGAGTTCTTGTCATCAGCGCTGCCATTAGCACCCAAAGCCAGTAGAAGGACAGTGATCAGGAAGGTTCCCTTGGTGGAGTAGAGGATCAGTTTCCCCTCCCCTCAGCAAGCAGCACCGTGGCAAGGACGCCAGACTCACTGCCCCACACCTGAGTCTCCAATCACAAAGGAGGCAGCAGCCCTTCGGGGCTTGTCCAGTCGGGGCCCAGATCCTTCCGACTTAGCTCGGGTGAGGAGGCGCTTGGTTGGGAGCAGGCTAACATCCCTTTTCTTTCCCAGCTGCCACTCTGGGTACGTGGGTGCTCGCTGCGAGCATGCGGACCTCCTGGCCGTGGTGGCCGCCAGCCAGAAGAAGCAGGCTATCACTGCCTTGGTGGTGGTCTCCATTGTGGCCCTGGCTGTTCTCATTACCACCTGTGTGCTGATCCAGTGAGTATTTGTCACCCCCGAGGCTATATGTCCCACCTGCCTACTCCGCCAGGGGCATCCGAAGCATGGCCGCACCAAAGAGCCACCAGCTTGTTGTTGTGACACAAGAGTGATTTCAGCTGAGCTAAGAGAGCAGTTGCTGTCTCTCCACAGAGTGCCAGGCAAGCTGTGCAAATGCCTGGAGCAGGGGGCAGCTGCCAGCAGTGGCTCTGCTGTCTTCTAAAAGTCCTGTCAAATCAAAGACGTGCTCCCCACCGTCCTCAAACTCAGAACCTTCTGAGCACCTATGATCTGGGCAGGAGCTCCAGAGAGAGATGGAAATGTCTCCCAGCCTCCTCCTCCCCTCCTTGAACCACAGCCAAAGTGCTTCCTCCCCGCACTTGACAAACTCTGAAGTTACACCAGAGGCTCCCCATGCTGCCATCCCTCTTTGTCCTCCACCACTCCAGTCCTCTGGACTGCATCCTCCACAAAGCTGTGCTGAGCCCAGGGTCGAGGGAGACTACAGGATTGTCTTATCTGATTAGCTTGCTGATAGCTGCCCACTGGCCTGGCTAGTACAACCAGAGTCCCTGAACATACAGTGCTGTTCCCAGCAGCCGACACCAAGCTAGACTTACTCCCTGGGATGGTTAAATCTAAGTCAGAGCACTCAGAGGATTCACTTTAGTTTGAATGGGCACAGTTCACTCAAGACTGGAATTGCAGAAAGTACAAAGGCTGTTTCAGTGAGGCTGTGTGTGAAGGCAATGCTGGCTTTTGGCCTCTAAGGCTGGCCAGATTGTGGACAGACCAATTAGAGGCACAGTTCTGGTGGTTTGCTGCTGTTGAGACAACTGAGGCACAAGCCCAGTGACACTCCTGGTTGAAGGGCCACCTCCTGAAGCATCATGGCCTCCAGCCCCAGGGTCTGTTGGTCCTAATCCTTATGTCTGTTGAAAGGCCATTGTCACACCGGCAGGACCACTCAGATGGCCCTTATGGAGACATCAGTCAGCTAGGTGACTGGCTCGTCCCCTTGGCCAGCCAGGGAGTCTGGAGCCAGGTGAGCCAGGGAGGCTAAGGCAGAGCTAGAGCAGTAGTGTGCATACTTTGTGTCAGCCAACAGGTACTTTGTGGCTGGTCAGCATCTGTCTGAGGTGGCTGATGCTATGGAAGGCTGAGTGGACACCCAGGGCTACAGAGCTGGGCTCTCCTGCCAGGCAGGTGTAGCTTAGCCTCTCCCTTCTGTCCCCAGCTGCTGCCAGCTCCGCAAACACTGCGAGTGGTGCCGTGCCCTCGTCTGCAGACACGAGAAGCCCAGCGCCCTCCTGAAGGGAAGAACTGCTTGCTGCCACTCTGAGACAGGTACAAGGCGGCTTCTGCCCTTTTCTTCCAGGGGAGGGACTACCGGGTGGAGAGAATGGCTACTGTTTTCCAAGTTGGGACAGGTGCCAGGAGGGAAGTGAGGAACTGTTTTCCCCTCCCCTTACAGGGGAACCGGCCATGGGTCAGTTGAACTGCAGCCCTCCTGACAGAAATATCTCTCCCAACCTCTTCTCTCTCTGTCGCTGAAACCCACCCTGCTACTGTAACTCATATTCTGTCACTGAAAGCAGAGTTTCAGAGGCTGCTGCCCCTGAGGATGACCTAGAACTGGGCCTGGCTGCTGAAAGAAGCCAGTTATATTTTGATCTTACCTCAAGTCTTGCCTCCTAAGCTTATATCCCTAGCATGGCTCGGGCCCATATCACTTACCCTGTTTCTCTTTTCTGCCAGTGGTCTGAAGATCCCAGAGGAGGAGTTTGGCCAGGCAGCCTCCCAGGCGGCCTGTGACAGCCCAACCACAGAAAGGCTTCTCAGAACAGCGTCACCCGCAGTGTTGGGGCCCTGCAGACGTGCTGGCAGACCCCTCCCCTCAGTGCACAACCACCTGCTCAGCCTTCTGTCCTCCGAGGGCCTTCAAAACTGTGTGATAATGCTGCCTGCTGGGCTTTCTCAGTGCACCCTAAAGAAGAGGCCAGTAGACCATGTTTTAAAGACAAGTTAAACAAGAACCTGAAAAGGCTGGCCTTCTTGCTAACCCACACCAAGCGTGTGCTTGGATTGGTGTCTCCTGCCAGCCATGGGTTCCAAGCTGTTTCTTCTCAACGGGCCATCTGCCCCAGCAGAAACTCCGTGGTTAGTGTACAAAATGGACAAGGGGAAACATCTATTGTTATATGAAGACACTGTGGCCTCCCACAAGCCCTGATATCTCCTCATGCTGTTTCCGGGATGTGTGTCTTATTTATTAGATGGATAACGGTTTTATTTTTCATCTCTCAAGTCAGCATCAGGCATTCACGTTAGTGATACATGAACAGCTGTGAAGTTACACCAAATAGAAACATCCAGCCACCTTGGTAAGTTAGGACCAAAGGGAAGGGAGCCTCGCTGGAGCTGCAGACAGAACTCAAAATGCATTCTGATGGGAACAAAACGGCTATTCGGAGGCTGTACCACTTAAGACAGGAAAGTTAGCAAAGTTAGAAAATCCAGTAGCAGAGAGAGTTCTCCCTGATGGGGGACAAGAGGACAAGAGAGCCTGTGTGGGCACCTAGGGAGGACGCACATGCCAACACATGATTAAGTGGATTAACTTCCTCGTGAGTCCAGCTTGCATTAGCAGCAAGCTGTGGGCCAAATCCATGAAGGGGACCAGCCCTTTATTTTCCATGCTGTTGCCTTGGTTTTTGCTTTATTTTTAGAAGGAGAAATTTAACTTTCCTATTTATTTTCAAGCATTAGAGAAATATCCCACTGTTTTGTTTTGTTTTGTTTTGTTTTTTTACTCCTTTCAGAATGTTGGCATTATTAACAAAATTGGCTACCAAGCCTCTCCACTCCCCTTAGGAGAAGCAGACCTGCTCCCTGATCACCCCAGGGTGCTCTGACCCGTTGGACCCACCCTCATCCTGGCGCTGCTCTGTACTGTCTGGAGACTCGATGACAGGAAACACCAAAGCTGCTTATTGAGGAGGCCATCCTTAACTCAGAAGTGAAAAGTCCAACCCCCTCTGCCCTCCGTGGCCTCCAGTTAATGTGCTGGCAGAAGGGCATTTGATATACCATGTTGGCTTGAAGTTTCTGTCAGAAAGTTTTGCCTACTCCTCATTCTTCTCCATTCCACCTTCTTCTGTGAATTGTTCTCTTCTCGTGTGATCTAGGCCCTGATCTGCCCCAGGTCTTAACCCTAGCACTCTGGTCACAATGCCTGAAGCCCTAAAAGAAGAAGCTGGATCTGTTCATTGCTGCCCTTCCTCCAGCTACTTAGCTGACATGGCTCCAGGCAGACAGCATTATTTTCGTTATTATTATTTTGTTTTGGTGTTTTATTTTGTTTTGTTTTGTGAGACAAGGTCTTGCCCTGTAGCTCAGGCCAGTCTTGAACTCAAGATCCTCCTGCTTCAGCCTCCTGAATGCTGGCCGTACCCAGCAGAGTTATTTGTTTGTTTGTTTATTAAAATAGGTTAAGTTTGCTTTCCTTGGGTCATACATGTGGGTCAAGGCCAAGAGTACCAAGAGTAGCCTGCTGCTCTGAGACCAATCAGCCGTGCTTGACTTTCTAGACCTCTACTGGCTCCAGCGCTCTCAGCTGAAGTCCTGGCTCGGGGCCAATACAAATGGACGTGCAGGGCTTGTTTTAACTTAGTTCACACTGTTCGCTTCCGATGGCAGATCCTTTCTGGTCGTCTGGCTGCTTTTAAAGAGTTTGAACTGATATCAAAATATTAATGGGAACTTCCTTACCTGATGTCCCATCCTAAATATGTTACCATCCAAGACTCAGCAGAGGTGGGGAAAAAATTAGGATGAAATCATGATGGTGAAGGCAGAGGATTCTCAGGAGGACCTCAGCTTCAGTGTCTCCACATTCCTGTTCAAGGCCCAGCCAGTCACAGCAGCCAGTGCCCTGCAGTGCCTGCACACAGACACAGCCAGCTCACATGGCCCCTACAAGTGCCTTCCCAGCCACCCCCTTTGCAAAACAATGGATCTGGAGAATCAGAAGCTAAAAGTAGGTTGAGGCAAGTCTGGTTGGACATCATCCTGGCCCCAGCATACAGCAGCCCTGCTTTGGTGACTTTGATTTTGGAAGTCAGTCAAATGTTGTGTCTCTTCTTTGTCATCTCACAGCAGTTAGTGTACCAACATCCACCTGTCGGTTCACACTGCACTCCCTCAGCACCCTCCTGTCAGTTCACACTGCACTTCCTGGCCCTCTCTTGATGTTCAGCGCAGCAGTAAATAGGAGCAGCAGCCACATATGACAGTGGCCAGCACAGCCGTTCCAGTGACTTGGGGAACTATGGACATTCCCATTGAATGAACTGAAACTAATTCTAGGGACGTTTCAATGGCTCAGTGAGTAAAGGCACTTATCAACATCCTGAGAACCTGAGTTCAACCCCTGGGACCCACATGGTAGAAGGAGAAAACCAATTTGTCCAGGGTGCCTTCTGTTCTCCACACACAGGGGCATGTGTGCATACATACACACACACATAGACACACAGGGCCATGTTTACACACATACACACACGCACACACAATCTAATTTATAAAAATGAATTCTAGAAAGGCCCCCCATTCCTCTAGCTGTAACTTTAAACCTACCATGGGTCACATTTTCTCGGTGGAAAAAAATATAATAGTGACTCCAGTCTGAAAGGTAGATTCCAGGCAGGTACATATGGAACCAAGCCACGACTCAGTTTGTTGTGTATCCCATAAAAAGGTGGGAACTATAATCCCAAGATCCCCTTTCTCAAAAAAAGGGGGGGGGGGCTACTCACAACGGTGAGGGAAGAGGCTCTCTCTGGGCCCCCGGGGCCAGGTTTCCCAGTGCCTGTGAGCCCCAGAATAGACCAGCAACATTCTAAGCCTGCCTGCAGGCCCCAGTCCTGAGTGAGTTCCAAGCTTGTTTCTTCCCCAGGACCAAGAGGAGGCCACACAGAACACCACATATGTTTTTGACACAGGGTTTCTCCCTGTAGTCCCGGCCAGCCTTGAACCCATTATTCCCCTGCCTCAGCCTCCTAGATTACAGGTGTGTGCCACCATACTTGGCTTATGTTTGTTTCTAATGTTCCGGTGTCAGGTGTATTCCCTGAAGCCACTGATCTATCTCAAAGACACAGTGTTGTGTGCACACGTGACCGTGCGCGCACACACACACAGAGTACTGGAACGCAACTCCTCTCCACGGTGTGATAAGTTTTTTGTAAGGGACCTGATGCTGTTTTTAGGGCTCATCATTCTGACTTCAGTATATGATGCACTGACGGTTACTATGTAATGTTTTAATTTATTTTATGTGGTAAGTTAATTTTGGTCTCTGTAATGTATTAATGTGATTAGAAGCTTTTTTCCTTAATATCTGAATTATACTTAAAGAGTAGCAAGGAATATAAGATACTGTTGTGTTTTTCAGAAATGTGTATTGTTACCCAGTTGTATTGTACCTTGTCTGGAAGGATGAAGGAATGAAATCTTTTTTTTCCTAAATATCAAGACTGAAGTTTTTCTTTAATGTGGCTGAAATACGATTTTCTCTGCAAATGTGAATGAGAAAAAAGTAGATGGGCTTTTTTATTAGATTTATTTTTATTCTTAATTTTGTGTATTCATTCATGTGTGTGTGTCTATGCATGAGTATGTGCATATGAGTGCAGTTGCTCTAAGTGGCCAGAAGAGGGCATTGGATTCCCCTGGTTCTAGTGTGAGTCTCTAGAGAGACTGTGAGCTGCCTTATCTGGGTACTGGGAACCCGATTCAGATCTTTTGAAAGAGCAGTAAACTATCTTAAGCATGAATCATTTCTTTAGCTCTAGATGATCTTTGTAGAAATTGTAAAACTGTCTGCCTAAGGAAATGAAGTTCTTCCTAATACCTGGAGAACAGAGACACTTTTTCCTGCACTGAGAGGAACTGAGCCCTGGCTGAAGAGACAGAATGGCATGCAGAAAATGCCTCTGGGTTATTTCCTGACAACATTCATAGAAACCATGAGATTGTAAGGTAGAGGGTGTGTACATGGCTGTGTGGTCTATGTTAATATTCCTTAGAACTGTTAGGTAGGCAGAGTTTGGGGCACAACCTCTAGGGGTCCACCCCTGCTCCTCTGCCTTCTGAGTCACTCTGATAACATGATCCAGGCTGAGACCTGCTGTGCTGTAGAACCCTGGGAAGGTTTTTGTGGGGTGCTGTTTTTAGGGAAAGCTTTGCAGAGTCCCACAGAGCAATGAGACTCAGTCACCCTTTGGGGTTTGTTCTAGTTTCCATTCCATTGGTAAAAAGCAGCTCAGGAGGAAAAGGCTAGCTCAGCTTCCAGGTCACAGTCTATCGCCAAGGGATGTCAAACAGGAAGTTGGAGCAGCTTTCACATCACACCCACAGTCAAGAGCAGAGAGGACCTGGGTGGTGGTGGACCATGCCTTTAATCCCAGGACTCAGGAGGCAGAAGCAGGGTGAACTCAGTGAGTTCAAGGCCAGCCTGGTCTATATAGCAAGCTCCAGGATTCCAGGATGCCCAGGATTACAAAAAGAGACCGTCTCCAAAAAGCCAAGAAAGGAAAAAGAAAAAAAAAAAAAAAAAAAGAGCAGAGAAGAAAGCATAGCTGCTGCTTGCCTGAGGATGCTTCTGCTCTGCTGCTTTTCTTCTCTCCTGCACAATTCAGAGCCCAGCCCTGGCGCCACCCACATTCCGGGTAAATGAGTCTTCTCTTCTCAAGGAACAAATAAGACAACCTCCTACAGACATGCCATAGGCCAGTCTGACCTAAGCAACTCATTAAGACTCTCTTCCCAAGTGTTTCTGAGTTGTGTCAAGTTGACAAATAAAACCAAGCAGCAGAGAGCTGCAGTGCACAGCAACCCAAAGGCCGAGGCTGTCTCTTTGGGTCTTCTCTGTACAGCCTGGTGGAAAGGACCTCTGTCTTTCCTATACCCCATCCCTTGGTACCCACTGTTGGTGTCTAACTGCAAGGAATACTTCTAGAACTGTCCACCCAGTCCCTGAAAGTCTTTAGCAAACCCTCTCCATGTCTAGTTCATGGGCATGGCATGTGTGGCTCAGCAGCTCACAGCCACAAACACTCACACATACACACACATAAAATATAGATACACACACATACACATATACACACAGGCATCTCAGGGCCAGCATGGGTCTTCATTTTCATCTCCTCCCACTGCTCTAATGAAGTACTATCTCCAACTGCATCAGAAACATGGTCCTAGCACACTGTGACACTCTTCTACCCTCTTGAGGATCTGTGGCTTTAAAGAGCACCCAAGTGAATATGACTGGCTAGCCAAACAGGGGCCCCTTACAGCTGCACCCAAGCCTTACCTGAGTGGAGATGCAGGGCTGGAGAGATGGGTCAGAGGTTAAGAATACTGGCTGCTCTTCCAGAGGTCCTGAGTTCAATTCCCAGCAACCACATGGTGGTTCACAACCATCTATAACGAGATCTGGTTCCCTCTTCTGGCCTGCAGGTATACATGCAGACAGAACACTATATGCATAATAAATAAATAAATAAATAAATAAATAAATAAATAAATAAATAAATAAATACTTAAAGAAGAAGATACATTAAAAAAAAAAAAAAAAAAAAAAACAAGAAAAGCCATGAGAAAATGCTCACCATCACTGTTGGGAACTGTACAAGTCATAACCACAGTGAGGTGAGCTACATCCACCCATCAGAATGGCAAGCATGGAAAAGAAAACACACACACACACAAGAACATGCTGGCAAGTGTGCAGAGCAAGGGGGCCCACACAGCTGTCGGAGTGTGGATAGAGACAGCCATGTGGCTAGCGGGGGACTGGAAGAGAGCTGTTGGGGCGTAAATGGATACAAGCACTGCAGACCCAAGCACGGAGAGTCTTAAAAGAAACAGCATTAGAAAACAATTTTAGTCCTCACTGTCAGCTTGACTACATTTAGAAACCGGGAGACACACTCCGGGTGTGTCAGTGAGTGTGTTTGCAGAGAGGCTAAGCTGAAGAGGGAAGGCCCACCTTGATTGAGGGTGGCAGCATCCTTTGGCTGACATTCTAGACCCAATGAAAAAGAGAGAGAGAGAGACCTGAGCACCAGTGTTCACCACCCTCCGCTTCCTGACTGCTGTGTGCACACACAGGCGCACACACACTGAGGCACATATGTACACACAGGCACACATGTACACACAGACATAAACATACAGAGGCACACATGTATACGAATGCACACACACAGAGGCACACATGCATATATATACACACAAAAATAAATAAATACCGTTATTTTTTTTAAATGCATTAATTCTAAACACGAAACAAAAGATGTCCTAGCTGGCAGGGGGTGCAGGAGACTACAGCTCAAACTCTTTGGATCCAGGTAAAGATTTAGATTTTTAAACTTAAGTGTAAGCAAAAGCGCAGGGGTGAAGGAGACTTTTCTTTGAACCACAGTGACGCAGATACCAAAGACACAGTGTACGTAATCCATCTTGGCCAAATGCACGAGCTTCCGCGTAAACCCCACCTGTACACTCTGCATCCTGGGTAGGTGAACTAACTTCTCTGGCCTCAATTTCCTTGTAGTAAAGTGAACATATTGGTGGTATCTAACTGGGAAGGTTTTGATCGGCTTACACAAATTGTCACACGGCAAAGGCTCAGTAAACAGCGCTCACCCTCAGTACAGTTAGTGACGTAGTCTGTATTGTGTCTGTTTTGCTGCTCTCAGCTGTATTGATCCCTGGGAGCTGTGTTATATACACACAGAGCAAGAGCTGTGAATGAGCTCACAGGCTAGTTCCCACTAGACCACAAGTGTCTGTGAAGGAAGTACAGCGGAGACAAGGGGAGCCGAGGGAGAGCTGAGCCAGCCAGGTGTCACCATGCCACCTGCCTGGGATGTGTACTCAGATCTGTGCCAAGCCACATGGCAGTCATTGCACAAGGGGTAGGAATGCCCTAAGAGAGACCCGGGTACATACAAAGCCGGCAGTGATTGTGCCAGCGGGCAGCAAGGTGTGACACACACAATCATGATCTCAGAAGGCTGTGTGACAGCCGTCTTCCCAAGATGTTCCCCAAGCGCTCCTCACGACACCCCTTCCAGCCAGCCCCTAGGGGCCTGCCCTGAAGGCACACCAGAGTGAGTGGGGCTACTGAAGGCCTCACAGAGCTCGGCACCGGCTCTACAGCCTGTGCCTCCCTAGTCAGGTCACCTGGGAAGGAGGACCAGGGCACAAGCATACAGGCTCCTCTCTCGTTCCCAGGAGCCAGGGACAGGCAAGGCTTGCATCTGGGAGGGCTTGGTATCCAGTGAGTCACCACGCTCATCCGACGGGACCACTCTTGGGGTACAGCGAGACTGGGGGTCCACTCCCACACCTGCAATACCTGGGTAGCCTCACTCCCTCCAGATTTTTCTCCAGGTCGGTTTCAGCCTTTGTGATGCCTCTAGACAGAAGGGACCCGGGTGAGGTTACACTGTAGGATGACAAGTGACAGCTCCGCACAAGACACATGGGGCACAGTCACCAGCCAAGATCTCAGAGGAGGTTTTATTCTAATGGAACAAGATGGTTCAGGGCTGCAGGAGCCGTGGCCTCGTGCTGAACATACGCCTGTCATTCCTAAGCTTTCAGGGAGCTTTTGAAAAGCTAGCGAGGGGAGGATGGAGTAGAGAGGAAAGAGACTGTCAGGAAAGCAACTACAAGCGTTTGCCCTAAAAACAGAATGGCCCAAGTTTCGTTTTCTTCTTTGCATTTTCCATACTATGTGCTCCGTCATTTTATCTGTATGTGTGAATGCCCATGTGTGTGTGTGTGTGTGTGTGTGTGTGTATGTCTGTGTGTAAACTATGTGTGTGCAGTGTCACTACTAGCCAGAAGAGAGTGTCAAATCCCCTGCAGCTGGAGTTATAATGGATTGTGAGGCTCTGTGTGGGTGTGCTTGGTCCTCTGCAAGAGCATCTCTCCAGTCCCGTTGTTTTTTGTTTGCTTTTTGTTTTTTGTTTTTTCGAGACAGGGTCTTAAGTAGCTCAGGTTTGGCCTCAAACTCACTATGCAGCCAAAAATGACCTTGAACTTCTGATCCTCCTGCCTCTACCTCCCAAGCGCTAAGATAACAAGCTATGTGCCAGCTCAGCTATAAAATAGTTGTTTTTAGCCAGATTTCAGGCTTCTGTGGTAACATGGCCAAGCCTGCCACATCATCGTCCTCCAAGAGTTCTGCACACACAGCCATCAGTCTGCAACCATCCCCTCTAGATTGGGCACAGGGCCAGCTCACTGCCTTCCCCAACACCACCTGTCATCTTCCTAATCTGGAAGCTGGGAGCTGAGGGCTTACCTTTTCCAGTTGAGAACCATTTTCCAAATTAAAGGTAAGTCGAGACATCCACATGCATAGGAGTTCGAAGGCAGGTGCTGTCCAGAGGTGCTCTATTCATGGGCTTGACTGACGGCACCTTCAAAACGCAAATGTCTTCCAACTCTGCCCTGCCCACTTAGAGTTTTGACATCCGCCCCCCTCTCTTCATCTCAGAGGCCACTGGCTCACGTGCAGCA